GCCATTTTACTCTTAGCCATCATATAGTTTTGTGAATAAATTAAAGATATTCTTCCTCTCAGACTTTTTTTTAAGGGGATTAAAATCAACTCCATTAAGAAAGATCGATTTTTGCTGTACTGGCACTCAGTTATGGCAAATGTGAGGCACAACAAGTATTAGGGATATTTTTAGGATAATTATTAGAGATCAATACTGTCTTGATTATTTCAAAGGAACCATACCAACTAGGGTTTCAGATTATGTTCCTCTTAGCTAAGTGTAATATATATGTATTGCTGATTTTTCCATTTGTGAACATTATTTCTGTTTCTGAAGCTTAATAGTGATTTTGTCGAAGGATTAAGTACACTCTTTTAATGTTTGTAATTTTTTAAACCTATTTGCCCCCGTATTTTAATGTTTGTAATTTTTTTAACCTATTTGCCCCAGTAATTCTTGCTCTATTCCATTTAAAATTGTCTTGCTTCTCTGTCCTATCACATAAAGTTGGAATTTGAGGGCATAATTAAGATATTTCTAATAGGAAGGCCACCTTAATAAGATTTAATAATGACCTTGCAGGGTATTTCTTAGAGAAGATATGAAACCTGATTCTGGTTTTCTTCTTCCTTTGTCCAGAAACTTAATCTTGTTTATCAGATTTGGAAGACTAATTACCCAAACTCACAGTGTACTGAAATTTAAGCTAGAATCACACTTTACTTAGGATGAGAATTATAAATGTGGCACAGACTTGAACAGTCATTCCCTCTGATTTCTTTTTTTTTTTTTTTTTAATATATTTTATTGATTTTTCACAGAGAGGAAGAGAGAGGGATAGAGAGTTAGAAACATCGATGAGAGAGAATCATCGATCAGCTGCCTCTTTGCACATCCCTTAATGGGGATGTGCCCGCAACCAAGGTACATGGCCTTGCCCGGAATCGAACCCGGGACGTTTCAGTCCGCAGGCCAACGCTCTATCCACTGAGCCAAATTGGTCCCGGCCTCTCTGATTTCTTTTTCTCATCAGGAATTCTATATGAAAAGCCAAATGATCAGAACATGTCTAAGCAGAGATATAGACCCCCCAAAATGTAACTATTAAGATTTGAGAGAAAAATTTGTCTATTTGTCTATGAAAACCAGTTTAGATGTAGAACCTCAAAATAAAAATAAAATTGTAACCTCCAAAGTCTTCAAATGTACTAAACTAGTACACTTTATAAAAATTTGATATTGATTTGTGATTTCTTTCTTGATGTTATAGGATTTTTTTTTTTACTTTCTCTTCATTCTCTTTAAATAGACTTAAATCACATGGTAGAGTTGGGTTGGTAATGATCAGCATTCTTTTTTTTTCAGGTGCTTCTGCTATTTATCCCAATTTCTTTTATTATTGGTTAAGAAATGTTAACATTTTAAAGGTTAGTGTGACGGTGTTAAGCCCTCTCTGGGGTGTGATTGATCATTTTATTTTTATTATTTTTTAATATATTTTATTGATTTTTTTTGCCCCCCTCTCTCCCATACATACCCTCCCTCCCCAGAGTTTTATGTCCATTGGTTGTACTTATATGCATGTATACAAGTCCTTAGGTTGATCTATTATCTCCCCCAGATCTCCCTCCCCTCCCCGCTGTAATTTGACTGTCTGCTGTTGCTTTACTGTCTCTATATCTATCTTTTGGTTCATCAGTTTATGATGTTCTTTATTATCCAAAAATGAGTGAGGTCATGTGGTGCTTCTCTTTCATTGATTGGCTTATTTCACTCAGCATGATGTTCTCCAATTCCATCCAGGTTGCTGCAAATGATGAGAATTCCTTCTTTTTTATGGCAGCATAGTATTCCATTGTGTAGATATACCATGGTTTTTTGATCCAATCATCTGCTGATGGGCACCTAGGCTGTTTCCAAATTCTGGCTATTATCGATTGTGCTGCTATGAACATAGGGGTGCATATATCCTTTCTGATTGGTGTTTCTAGTTTCTTGGGATATATTCCTAGAAGTGGGATTACTGGGTCAAATGGGAGTTCCATTTTCAGTTTTTTGAGGAAACTCCACACTGTTCACAGTGGTTGCACCAGTCTGAATTCCCACCAGCAGTGCACGAGGGTTCCTTTTTCTCTGCAACCTCACCAACACTTGTCATTTGTTGATTTGTTATGTTGGCCATTCTGACAGATGTGAGATGGTACCGCATTGTTGTTTTGATTTGCATCTCTCGGATAATTAGTGACTTTGAGCATGTTTTCATGTGCCTTTTGGCCTTCCTTCTGTCTTCTTTTGAAAATATTCTGTTTAGGTCCATTGCCCATTTTTTAATTGGATTATTCATTTTCCTTTTATTTAGTTGTATAAGCTGTCTGTAGATGTTGGAGATTAAACCTTTATCAGTGGTAACATTTGCAAATATGTTCTCCCACACAGTGGGCTTTCTTGTTTTGTTGATGGTTTCTTTTGCTGTAAAAAAGCTTTTTATTTTGATGTAGTCCCATTTGTTTATTTTCTCTTTAGCTTCCATTGCCCTAGGGGCAGTATCACTGAAGTAGTTGTTTTGGCATATATCTGAGATTTTGCTGGCTGTGGATGCTTCTAGTATTTTTATGGTTTCCCTTCTTATGTTTAAGTCCTGTACCCATTTTGAGTTTATTTTTGTGTATGGTGTAAGTTGGTGATCTAGTTTCATTCTTTTGCATGTGTCTGTCCAATTTTCTCAACACCATTTATTGAAGAGACTGTCTTGACTCCATTGTATATTTATGCCTACTTTGTCAAATATTAATTGAGCATAGTGATTTGGGTTGATAATCTGGGTTCTCGATTCTATTCCATTGATCTATATGTCTGTTCTTGTGCCAGTACCAGGCTGTTTTGAGAACAGTGGCTTTGTAATACAGTTTGAAGTCTGGTATTGAGATCCCTCCTACTTTACTCTTCTTTCTCGGGATTGCTGTGGCTTTTCGGAGTCTTTTATTGTTTCAAATGATCTTTTGGAGAGTTCTTTCTAGGCCAGTGAAATATGCCATTGGTATTTTAATGGGGAGTGCATTGAACCTATAGATTGCTTTAGGAAGTATGGACATTTTGATGATGTTGATTCTACCAATCCATGAACATAGTATGTTCTTCCATCTCTTTACATCTTCCTCTATCTCTTTTTTCAGTGTTGTGTAGTTTTCCACATATAGGTCCTGTACTTCCTTAGTTAAATTTATTCCTAAGTATCTTAATTTTCTTGGTGTGATGGTAAATGTAATTGCTTTTTTAGTCTTTGTTTCTGTAATTTCGCTGTAGGTGTATAGAAATGCCATGGATTTCTTTGCGTTAATTTTGTATCCTGCTACATTGCCAAATTCATTTATTAAGTCAATTTTTTAATGGAGTCTCTTGGGTTTTTTATGTACAATATCATGTTGTCTGCAAATCAGGATAACTTTACTTCTTCTTTTCCAATTTCGATTCCTTTTATCTCCTCCTCTTGTCTAATTGCAATGGCTAGTACTTCCAGTACTATGTCAAACAGGAGTGGCGAGAGTGGGCATCCCTGTCTTGTTCCTGCTCTTAGAGGGAATGGTTTTAGTTTTTGCCCATTGAGTATAATGTTGGCTGTGGGTTTATCATATATAGCTTTTATTATGTTGAGGTATGATCCTTGTACTCCCACCTTGTTGAGAGTTTTTATCATGATCAGCATTCTTGTGGATAATGGTGGCTGATCATGCCCAGGCACCACACCCAGGAAGCTGCTCTTTTTTTTTTTTTTTTTTTTTATAATATATTTTATTGATTTTTTACAGAGAGGAAGGGAGATAGATAGAGAGCTCGAAACGTTGGTGAGAGAGAAACATCGACCAGCTGCCTCTTGCACACCCCCTACTGGGGATGTGCCTGCAACCAAGGTACATGCCCTTGACTGGAATCAAACCTGGGACCCTTCAGTCCGCAGACTTGACGCTCTACCACTGAGCCAAACCGGCTTCGGCAGGAAGCTTCTCTTTGGCAGCTGCCCTTCTCTCTCCATTTCCTTTCTTTCCCTTCCCTTCCTTTTCTTTCCCTTTCCTTCCTTTCCTATAGGAGCCACGATAGGAAACTTTCAGTAGGCACGGAGATCCCCTGACTTACTGTTTCTTATCTGACTTACTGTTTCTTATTGCCTTCTGTAATAGTTATCTCAATTGCCATAGCTAGGGTGGAATAACTTTCTGGTTGATTCTAGACCTCAGAATTGCATAATTTGTGCTCTAGCCAGTTTTGCTCAGTGGATAGAGCATTGCCTGCGACTAAAGGATTGTGAGTTCAATTCCTGTCAAGGGCACATACTTCAGTTGTAGGTTCAATCCCCACCCTGTTTGGGGCTTGGGTTGGAGGCAACCAATTGATGTGTCTCTCTCTCTCTCTGTCTCCCCCTTTCCTTCCACTCTCAAAGTCAATGGGAAAATATCATTGGGTGAGGATTAACAATAACAAAAATTACATAATTTGTAAAATAATAAAAACCAAAAACTGGGCAAAAGTAAGAAGGCAGGGATGTACTGTGGGTTGTGGAATCTGTCACAAAAGTGGTATTTCTTTGGGAATAATTAGAAGTGTCAGAGATAATTCATTATCACATTCTGATTTGCATTCATGATATTTATGCATGAAAAATATGAGGAAAGCAAGTTGTACTAAATTCTGATAATTTTATATAGTCTCTGTCCATCTAAAGCAGGAATGGGGAACGTCTGGCCGGTAGGCCATATAAGGTCCACCAAATCATCTGGTGTGGCCTGTCAAGACATTAGAAGTGAGTTAATTTAATGTTTGACCAAATTTAGCAGCTAATTTTTAAGTCAATAAAGTTGTATGGCCCTTGAATGATGTTAGATATACCCAGGTGAACCTTGATAGAAAAGAAGTTATATCTAAAGCCATATAAATAATAATACTGCTTAAGTATTTTCTCCATTTTATATGAAGAATTTCTCATATTCCTAGTTTTTAAATGTATCAAAATTTTTTTTATGCAGCTCTGAAAGATTGGTATTGCTGGCAGGTGGTAGCCTGGAGATCAGTGATGTCACAGAGGATGATGCTGGGACTTATTTTTGTGTAGCTGATAATGGAAATGAAACAGTTGAAGCTCAAGCAGAGCTTACAGTACAAGGTATGTCATTATTTCTCATATAAATAAATAAATAAATAAATAAATAAATATCCTTTGTACCTTCTGGGCTTGCCAATTTTTTAACATTAATGTGGGAACAGTAACACAACAAAATAGTTAAAAGACTGAACTTTAAACCAGACTGAGTTCAAATTCATGGTCTTATATTCCCTGATTGTATAACTATAGGAAATTTAATTAATTTCTGTGAGCCTCATTTTCCTCATCTGTAAAATCAAGATAATAAGAGTACTTACCACCTTGGAGTTCTTTTGAAGATATAAAGATTTAGTGTTTGTAAAACTTCAATAATAATGGCTATAATATAGTAAGAGCTTGAAGTTACTGTAATTATGCATGGTAGTAGTATGGGTATCTGATAGTTAAGTTTACTTTTCTTGTCTCACAATGTTTTCTCACAAAAAACTTCTCTCCTAAGCACTGGTATTCCCTTCTTTCAGATGAATAGATCAGCTAGGACAGACAATGCATGTGACTCTCAATATAACATGGTCATCTGTTTGATGATTTCTTTCTTTCTCCTCAACCAACATTGAGCATTACATTATATCCCTCTATAGTAGGGGTGTCGAACTCAATCAGAGAAGGGGCCAAAATCTAAAATCCAGCCTAAATCTCGGGCCGAATGGTTTATTGAACAGTCATAAACTGTCGTTGTGATGGAAACGCAGTGGAGTGCAGTGATGACAGCACGGTGTGGGCCACATTGCAAGGCCTGGCAGGACGGATTTGGCCCGCGGGCCTTGTGTTTGACACATGTGCTCTATAGGTTCTCTCATTTAGAAGTCAGATAAATTGAACCTGGCATGTACACATAATCTCTTCTTATCCCATTTACCTTTCCATCCTCCATATGGAAATGGACCCTCAGAAAAATGCTTGCTATCTATCCTATGATTGTCTGCACCCTCATTCATTTTTGTTCTAAATAAAAATCTTTAAAACCTTCATTTCTTTCAGGGAAATCCAATAGTGTTTGGATATGTAGAAGTATATATTGGCTCTTGATATTCATCTTCAACTTGTCCCAAATTATATTTGTATTTGATAAACCACTTCCTGATCTATGTTTTGGGGTTGTTTTATATTTTATATAGAAATGTTTCTTTTGATATATTTGAGGGTCTTAGAGTGGGAAGTAGAGTAGCCACAGCGGAAGAAAGTTTTATTCAACTGAAAGCACAAAAGGAGGAAAGAATTATTGTATGTGTAAAACTAAGAATGAAGAAGATGAAGAAACACTCTCAATATAATGGTAATTAAAATAACATAAATGGATTTTATCAAAAAGAACACAGCAGATTGGATTATGAAAACTCTCCCAATATGTTGTTACAAAAGATTTACAAAAAACTGAATGAGACAGATTTAAAATAAAAGGATGGGAAAGATATACTAGGCAAAATAAAAGAAAGTTGAAGTAGCTTTCTAAAAGGCACAAATAGCAGAAGAAACATACCTACTCAAAAGAGGAATTATAATCAAGAAAGTATAACATATCATATAGTCAACATGGATAGATATGTTCCTACAATGCAGTCTAAAATATATCAAACAAAAGCTAAATAATTGTTTAGAGAAATAAACAAATCAACAATCTTTCCACACTCCTTTCAGGAGATGATAGAATGAAGAGACAGAAAAATTTAGGTTTATCACAATTCTCTCCACAGTTCAACATAATTCTTCCAGTATTATAAGAAAACTAGAGGCTTGGTGCACGCAATTCTTGCATGGAGGGGTTGGGTTGTGAGTCCTTCAGCCCCGCCTTCACCCTCTGCAATTCTGGACCCCCCTACACCTTTTTCTTATCTAGCTAACCTCTTCACATTTAAAAAAATTAACTGAGCTGAAACCGGTTTGGCTCAGTGGATAGAGCGTCTGCCTGCGGATTGAAAGGTCCCGGGTTTGATTCCGGTCAAGGGCATGTACCTTGGTTGCGGGCACATCTCCAGTAGGGGATGTGCAAGAGGCAGCTGATCGGTGATTCTCATCGATGTTTCTAACTCTCTATCCCTCTCTCTTCTTCTCTGTAAAAAAAAAAAAAATCAATAAAAATATATATTAAAAAATAAAAAAAAATTAACTGAAATATCACCTACTCTAGGAAATCCTCTTTGAAATCCAAATGTCTTTACTATATGTATTAAATATTTTCATAGTATATCATTCTTTTTCTTTAATAGCTACTTAGAGTGGATGCAATGTGGTTTTCATTCTTGCATTTGAAGTTTTTCTTCTTGCTCTCGTAATTGCAAAGCTTATCCAATTTACATTTGCCCTTTAAGGGCTTGCATTTAGTTCAGTTTCTAGTTGGCTTCCTGCTTTTTTTTTAAGCAATAAATTTGGGTTGTGATAGCAAGCCTCACTTGTAATCAAGCTCGTAGGTATTCCTATCTGAATATTTCTATAAAACCTATCACTTTAGCATACCAGAGATTGTGTTCATTTATAGAAAAATAACAACAAATGTCACCTGATCATTTGATCTTCTAGTAATATTTTATAGCAAGATGTATTATTCTAGTAATTAAACTATTACAAAACTGAGGCGTACAGAAATAAATCGCATTGAGCAATAAAGAATGACTCAAATGTCAAAGCATAGTACACTTAGGGCCTCCCTTGTCCTGTGCCTCAGATATCATAGCATAGTACACAGTTCATAAGGAATCAGCTTCCTTTAAAATAGGAACGGATGCCACACTCGTGAAGCAGCTACTTTCCCACATACTTTTTTTTAAAAACTTAATTCACAGCACATACTCTTTGTACTAATTATTGGAAAATCATCCTAGCAATTGCTTCTGTTCCTCACTATATTGTTGCCTTATATTCTGATGTTATTGCTGTGCTTTTATCATCCATTTGCTCTAATAAGATTGTGAATTTTTTAAGGGCATAAATCATGACTTGAGCTTGTCTTTCTCTGTCATGGTGCCTAGATAAATACTCAAATGCCATCCAGTCCTAATGACTGTGATGAGAGAGGCCCACCGCTGCTGGAGACCTCTCATTTTTATTTAAGGGGCCTCACTTGTTCTATGCCTTTACAGAGGGATAAGTAGGGGCTGAGGGAATTTGAGGAAACCCAGACAGAATTTTCCTCCTAAAAGATTTTACTAAGCTGGCACCCAGGACACTGGGCATTTGTCCAATTAAAATCTGGACACAGCAATAACAAAGGCACTGGTCTACTGATCATGCATAGGGATCAATCCCAGCCTGCAGGAACTCACCCCCTCAGTCAGGACTAGGTCGCTGGGTAGACCTGGGTTGGTGCTCCTAACTCTGGAGAGAGGGAGACTTCCCGTGGCTACAGGCTAGAGGCCCTGGACTCGCGCCACGCACCAGAACAGGTCCCCAGCGCAGGTTGGTCAGTAGAATGGCTTCTTCGCCTGGGATTGCGGGACAGGTTGGCCATGCTCAGCCTGGCCTGTTCGCCCCGTTACTGCAGAGCTGCCTGGTTTGTTCTCCCCATGATTGCGGGGCGGCCTGGCCTGGGCTCACTGTTTTCCACCAGCTGCAGCTCGCCAGTCTCCTATGGGCTGGTGGAGCAGTCCAGTCTAGCCCACAGCATGTGGCAGTGGCTGTGAAGGTCGCCACAACAACCCAGCACTAACTTCCAGTTGGTTAGCCATTGATCATGATAGATCGTTACAAGTTACAACCCTGGGCTTTTATTATTAGGATAAAAAGGAATAATAGTTTTGAAATTAGAAGAAGAGAAGGAATAGGGGGATAAATGGTAATGGAAGGAGCCTGACTTGCAGTGGTAAATATACAATACAGTATACAATGATGTGTTATGGAATTGTGTACCAGAAACCTGTATAATTTTGTTAACCAGTGTCACCCCAATAATTTCAATAAAAAAGGAAAAGAAAAAAAAAATGGGAAGAAGAGATAAAATTGTTCTATCAACATAATTTGTCTACCTGATCACCAAACTAGTGTTATATAATAAAATACAGTTTTCCATACAGGATAAATTTATCAAAATCAGAAGTATTTTTCTACACCAGTAATAATCATTAGAAAATAATTTAAAAAGTAGACAAATTCACAGTAGAAAAAAACTGTAAAATATCTAAAAATATAACTAAGAAACTATGGGGAAATTATAAAACTCTAGTAGAGGATGTAGAAGAAAATTTGAATAAATGGTAAGATAGATATTACATACTCTTGGATGGGTTGATATAATATTTAAAATGTCATCTACAAATTAATGTATAAATTTGGCATATGTGAATCAAGATTTTAAATAGATTCTTTGAGGAACTTGAAAATTTCTCCCTAAAGTGCATATGGAAGAATAAAGGTCCAGAAGCAGCTAAGTTAGCTTTGAAAAATAAAAAGAATGGAGGGCTTACTCTGACAAATATTCAAATATATTAAAAATTCACAATACTTGTATACAAAAACCTTGTATTGTTAAAGAACTGAGAAATAGACTGGTAGAATAAGAAATAGGCTAATTGTTTAGTAAACAGTTTGGGGGAATGTGGTTTCCCTAATGGAGAGAAAAAATAGCATTTCTGTGTAATAATAACCATCCAAATTACCTATATTTGGTCCAGTAGTGACTGAGATCTGAAGGGTAAAACTATAAACTTCATAGAAGAAAATGTAAGAGAATAACTTGGTCCCTAAGAGTCAGGAAAATATTATGTTAAACAAAAATGTAGATACAGAAATCATTAGATGAAACACGGATGGCTCAGAACATGTCAAGTAGAGGGTATGAATCTAAAACTAAATCTAATCTAAAGATAACGGAGGAAAAAATAAAGTAAAAAATACCTAAAAGGAAAGGAAAGAAAATATTGAGATGGTAGATTTAAACCCAAATACATCAGTAATTATAAATGTACTAACTATTATACACTGATTAAAGACAATAATCTTCAGATTGAAAAGAAATTGAAACCCAAGTATGTATTGCTTGTATGAGAGACACCTTAAATATAAGGATA